TTCTTGGATTTACATCGACTAACTTACGACGTGATCTATGGTATGCGAATTTGGTTTGTAACATATTATTCGCTATCTTGAACCATTGACGGGAGATTTATTTACTGCTCGATTTGTAGATCGTCGATTTAATGAAATAAATTTCCCACAATTAGGGGGAGAGAAAAAGGAAATCAAAAGAGAAATTGTGTGGAAAATTTTATCATTATCTCACTTTGATCCACGTACCCCTATATGTAATCAGGAGGTCCAGAAGATCATCCATTTACAAAATATAGCAAATCAAATGCCAGACGCATTTACTGATTTGAAAAGGATAACTAAGTCACATATCCCTGCAGAGAATGTTCCTATCCGAATTGATATCCCAGCAGGACCATCTACTAGCATGAGAGCTAGTGAACCTAAAGCACTCCTGAAGCGTGGTAGGCCTTTGAGTTCTAAGGATCGAAATCCTAGAAAAAGAAAATCGACAAATGATCAAAATGATATTATGAAGGGATCTCCTGAAGAGACCCAAGATCTGATTAGTTCTGAGATTCTTGATGAAATCAATGAACCCGAAACTCAAGTGAGCGAGGAACTTTTAATAAGTTCTGATGGGATTAATTTAAATCGATCTAAAATGGTGGTGGATAATATTTTTGCTTATAATGTTGCACTTAACATTATGCAAGATAATGAGGATTTTGAACCCCGATCTATCGAAAAATGTCAACAAAGATCTGATTGGCCAAAATGGCTAGAGTCAATTCAATCGGAATTGAAGTCACTTGCTAAAAGAGAGGTCTTTGGACCAGTAGTCCAAACACCTGCTGGTATAAAGCTAGTTGGTCATAAATGGGTTTTTGTGAGAAAAGGGAATGATAAAAATGAAGTTGAAAGATACAAGGCTCGCCTTGTTGCACAAGAATTCTCACAACGACCTGGAGTCGATTATGAAGAAACATATTCACCAGTTATGGATGCCATAATATTTCGATATCTCATCAGTTTAGCCTTACGTGAAAGGCTTGAAATACATCTAATGGATGTAGTTACAGCTTATCTGTACGGGTCACTTGATAATGAAATTTACATGAAAATCCCCGAAGGATTCAAAATTCCTGAAGCATATTCAAAATCTCGGGAAATGTACTCAATCAGATTACAAAGATCTTTGTACGGTTTAAAACAATCTGGGCGCATGTGGTATAATCGCCTCAGTGAATATTTGCTGAAAGAGGGTTACATAAATGATGTTATTTGCCCATGTATTTTTATAAAGAAAATGGCTTCAGAATTTGTTATACTTGCTATTTATGTTGATGACATAAATCTTGTTAGGACTTCAGAAGAGTTCCAAAAGGCAATTGAATATCTTAAGAAAGAATTTGAGATGAAAGATTTTGGAAAGACAAAACTTTGCCTTGGTCTGCAAATTGAACATTTAGCAGACGGAATCTTTATTCATCAATCTGCCTATATAGAAAGGGTCTTAAAACGCTTTTACATGGACAAAGCGCACCCATTGAGTACACCAATGGTTGTTCGATCACTTGAAGTGAATAAAGATTTGTTCCGACCTCCAGAAGAGGATGAGGAACTCCTTGGTCCCGAAGTACCCTATCTCAGTGCAATTGGTGCACTAATGTATCTTGCTAATGCTACAAGGCCTGACATAGCATTTTCTGTTAATTTACTTGTAAGATATAGTTCTTCTCCTACACGGAGACATTAGAACGGGATTAATCATATACTGCAATATTTAAAGGGAACTCTTGATATGGGTTTGTTTTATGCTAACAAAGATAGTGCAGATCTTGTTGGTTATGCAGATGCAGGTTATTTATCTGATCCCTATAAAGCTAGATCTCAAACCGGGTACATGTGGAGGTACTATCATATCATGGCGCTCCACAAAGCAATCTATTGCTGATACTTCTTCAAATCATGCTGAAATAATAGCTATTCATGAAGCAAGTAGGGAATGCGTATGGTTGAGATCAATAATTCATTTTATTCGAGAAAAATATGGTTTGGAATGTGAGAAAAGACCCACAATTTTATACGAAGACAATGCTGCATGCATAGCCCAATTGAAGGGAGGATTTATAAAAGGAGATAGAACGAAGCACATTTCACCAAAATTATTCTACACACACGATCTTCAGAAAAATGATGAAATTGATGTGCAACAAATTCGTTCAAGTGACAATCCGGCAGATTTATTCACTAAATCTTTACCAACTTCAACTTTTGAGAAGATGGTATACAAGATTGGAATGCGAAGACTTAAATATTCAAAATAAGGTTTTCATTAGGGGGAGTAAAATACGCGATGTACTCTTTTTTTTCTTACTAAGGCTTTTTCCCACAGGGTTTTCCTTATAAGGTTTTTAATGAGGCAGCTAGTAATGCGTATTACTAAATATGTGTACTCTTTTTCCTTCACTAGAATTTTTTCCCACAGGGTTTTTTTTCTAGTAAGGTTTTAATGAGGCACATTATCTTTTAATGAATATCCAAGGGGGATGGTGTTATAAATATATTATATTATGGATGTTCATTTAGTACTCCGTTGTAAATAAGCTTCCTGAAGAAGTTTATCCATATGAGGCTCCGCCGTAAATATGTTTATCTATTTAGTACTCCATTGAAAATAAGCCTCCTGAAGAAGCTTATCCTTTCGGTACTCCGTTATAGATAAATATTACCCATGGTAGAAGATTATCTATATCTGGCACAACATCTTAAAGTAGCAGCTTATACAACAGTTTACAAACAGCTTGCAGCAGTAGCTTACAAGCAGCTTACAGTAGCAGCTTACACAACAACTTCCTTTCTTCTATAAATAGAGGAGAATTCAGTTCATTATATACATAAATTTAAAGTTTGAATAATATATCAATTTTTTTCTATATTTATTTTTACTTTACTGTCTTTATTTTATAACACATTTGTCCTTTTCATGAGCTCGCTTACGTTTGCACGTGTGTTTTTTAGCAGCCATTTATTTTGTCAAAAACCATATGAAAGCTCTCGGAAATGTTCTAGAAACCTCAAAGGAAACCCAACATTAATAAAAATAAAAACTCTCTCTTACTTTTCTTCTTTCTTTCGTTCCGCTCGCATCACCTGACCTGAAAAATTCCTTAATCCACATGATTGACAAAACGCGGTCTATTTTTATCCGCTTTTAGAACACCGGCCATTTCGTTGACTAAACTTAACCAACAAGGAAAATTAAAACAACAATAATACTACTATTAAATTGTCCTAAAACTGTCATGTATTTGAGAAACACGCAAAAGTCAGAAACAAGCTTAAATCAAAACCTAGATATATGTGAAGCAAAACCAACCCAAGTGTATCATATATCCTCTTACTTCTAAGTTCTCACATTTCTCTCAAAGTTTCAAATTTGGTATACAATAAGACGTCTTAGTATCTTCATTCTTTTTTCTCCATCAATATTATGAATGCCATGAAAAGAAGCAGAGAAGAGGACAGGCAAGTGGAAGCAGAAGCCATGGCTAACTATGCCTTAATGCTATTGTCTCGTTTAAACAACAACAACAACAACACGACTTCAACAGATCGAGATTATCACAATGATTTCGAATGCAAGACTTGCAATAAACGCTTTCCATCTTTCCAAGCTCTTGGCGGCCAACGTGCAAGTCATAAACGGCCAAGATTACTTGCCAGAGATTTTCTTGTGCAATCAAAAAAGAATAAAATGCATGAATGTTCTATTTGTGGTATGGAGTTTTCTTTGGGTCAAGCTTTAGGTGGTCACATGAGACGTCACCGTGATGAAATTAATAATACTTCAGCGGCAGCCGGAAAGACAATGATTCCGGTGTTGAAGAAGTCAAATAGCAGCAAGAGAATTTTCTGCGGCTTGGACTTGAACTTAACCCCTGATGTAGATGTTGAACTGAAGTTATGGCCGACGGCACTAGTTTTATCTCCTGTTTTGAGAATCTTTATTTAAGTCCCTTTTCTTAGTTAACCTTTTAGGATTAGCAGAAATTGATTTGCTAACTCTTTTCGGGTTCTGCCCTTGTATATTTCCATAACTAGTGAATACGCACTTCGCGCGCTTGTATAAAAGATAATTAAGCAAATCAGGTTACTTATAAGACCTAATTGGATTTGTTTTTTCCGAAATGGAGTTTTATAATTTATACTTAGAAGAATACTAATTTTATTAAAATTCTTAATTTACGTGAACTAATTCTTCTTTGGATAGATCAGAGCTTCTGAAAACTGAAGATAGTATTTACAGTTTTATCATCTAGTGAAGTAGGAGCCACAAACTTCAAGATTGTTATTTTTTTCTTTTTCTTTTCCAGATAATTTTATTGTACGGCAAATATAGTAATATGTTAGCAGGTGAAAATAAAAAAAAATTAGTTTTTGACAACTTATTCACGTCCCAAATTCACCTGCCATCGAATGATTGGTTGTTGTCGGGCCACGACACTATGAGTTTATTGAACGCGTATTTGAGGTGCAAAATAGCTCGAAAAATAGTGTTGGTCTTAAAAGTATCATTAGGTCGTGGAATTGCATGCAATTAATTACGGTATTACAATAGTTGAGTGCACTAAGTTTATTTGTGAAATAAAAAAGAAAACAAGAGAATTGGTACTTTTCTTTTCATTATTTTCTTCACGCAAATAACTATATTGCAGTAACTTGTTTAGAGTCATACTAATGCAGCAACAAATATATAAAACCAATAGAATACATAATAGTGAACTACAAATGTATAATAACGGCGGAGTTCACCTTTATATTACTCACACAAATAGTAATCAGTTCACCTTGTTTCCTCACATTGACGGAGTTTCACGCCCGATAAAGTACTTGAATCATTGCAGTCCAATCATCTATATTATCATTCAACTCGAAAGAAAAAGGTATTTTATTACAATAGAACAATAAAAGATCAAGTTAGATGCGGTTCAATACATATGTAATGCACAAATTTATATTAAAAATATGATGAAGCATAGAGATTAGTATGAATTATTATTCAGATTAATCAGATAACGTGGGAAGAAAATTTTAAACAAAGGTACAGAAGCAAGTAAATGGAAATGGCAATGAGTTTTGCATGTAATGAGATGGGATATTTGTGATGAATACAAGCAACAAACCAAAGGACACACCAGCCCAATTAAAACAATTTAATAGGTGCAATATTTATTAATACCTATTTCCTGGGCCCTAGAGTATAGCTTCCGCCTTACCTGGTCTAATACAGAACCACAGATTTTATAAAATTTGGTTCAATACAATTGAATAAAACTGTACGTTCACATTGTATTGCTTTTAAATAAATCACGGTGTGCATAGAAAAAAGAGATAAATTTAAAAATAGCCAGATTTACAAGTAATAATTGAAAAATAGTCACAATTTCAAAAGTAATCGAAATTTAGCTAATTTTCATATAAAGATAAATCTGAACGAAAACACTGTTCAAAATTTTAAAAATATTCCCGCATAATATACTGGAGTTCGAATTTTTTACATGTGAACTTCCAGCATAATATACTGAAGTTCTAGCATAATATGCTGGAAGTTCATACATAGGTGCACCAATCTCCAGTATATTATACTGGAACTATCCGTATTGCAACAAAATAGTGACTATTTTTCAATGACTTTGTTCACACTGGCTATTTTTCAATTATCAATCCGAAAATTGGCTAGCCCGTGCTATTTTCACAACAAAAAAAAATATGCACAATGGATCTGACGATGCACTTAAGTGGAGAAATAGGAAAAAAGAACAAAGGGCCCAAAAAATTGTACAAATTTAGCAACTGTCTCGATAATAAAATTATTAAACAAATGAAGGAGATAAGACATGGACAAAGGGGGAAAGTTGGTGCTGAAATACTACTCCCGAGAAATATATATCCTAATACACCAAAAAAACGAGTAGTATATATCTCATTACCACCCTCTAAGTATTGCAAAGCCAATATATTTAAGAAATGCAAAGAGAAAATTTGAAAAGACCATGATACAATTTCAATGTTGTGTATGTGAGAATTTGAAGAAACGTTACAATTGAGTTCATGATTACCAATTACAAAACATCTATTCCGAGAGCGTTTGATTCCTGAGAGCTTTCAAGTTTTTATAATCCTTCTCCACATAGGTGTATACGGTAAAAATCGGTTAGTCTTTCGTACGAACTGGTCGAAATGGTAATGCATTGGATCGGAGAATCGTCTTCATAATATCAGGTTGAGGTCCGAAGTCAGGTCACCAAGCTTCGAGCCCTAGGGACCGATCAATGTCGAGCTCGATATCATTATCAAACTCGAATCTAAATCGAACTATGATGCAAAGTGAAGTTATCAAGCTTATGAGGCAGAGACCGACCAACACTGACCCCGAATTAATACAAGGATCCGAGTCAGAATCGAGCTCGAGTCAAGATTGAGAGCTTGAGTCGATACCAAGCTCGAGTCAATATCGAGCTCACAGACAAGAGCCGTTGCAATCCCACAAGAGGAGAGAATCCTGGCAAGAACTATGGAATAGCTGATTTATCATGTGTCTCCCACTATGTATTTTTAAATATATCTAAAGTAGGATTCCTTCACTATAAAGGGGATGTTTATTATTTCTGTAAGGACCAAGTTTTTGCATACATTGTAACTGAGATATCATACAATCTTATATTGAAGAGTTATCATTTTTTAGCTTCATAAATTGATTCATCTTGCTTAATCTATAAATCATCTTCTTCCCAAATTTGCTTATTTTTTATTCTCTACAGTCAACACTTGATATTTCTATTCATTCTTACGATTTGTGTCAAGTTATACCACATACCCTTAGAACTACGTACAAATTTAACTCAATCCATTTTTCGGGTAAACAGTTTGGCGCCCACCGTGGAGCTAAGGATAACAGTGGTTATTTGGTACAAATCTGCTAAACGCACCCTCTTACACTTATTGTTAAAAGTATCTTTGATTTCGAATTAGCAACAATGAACTCTCAATTAATGGCCTTACCTATCGACAACGAAAGTGGCCTTCAAGGAGAAAACAACAACTTGACAACCAGGGCCGAAAGACTGCTTGTCGATATCGTTGGGGCCCGAGTTGAAGTACCATTAGATGTTAATTCGCATGTGGCTGGCTATTGAGGAAAACCAACGTTCTGAGCCTGAAAATAACAATCATGGTGGTACTTGATCTGCACCTCGAGACACCCATAACGTTGAGGAAAACAGAATCAGCTTGCATATGATTTTCGAAATGTTGCAAGCTCAACAGGTAGTGATAGCTCAGTTGCAGAGTCAAACACAGGTACCAAGCAGATCGGAGCCCAGTCTACCCCGAGAAATTACCCACAAAATGGAGCCAGCTGTACTAAGGTCAAATAAGCAAGAATCGGGGACCAATCCCGAAATTGTTAAGATGTTCGAAGAACTGACAAAACGAATAGAATCAGGAGAAAAGAGGATCGAAGAAAATAACAAAAAGGTGGAAACGTACAACTCCAGGGTTGATCAGATCCAGGGGGCACCCCCGATATTGAAAGGCTTAGATTCTAAAAAATTCGTACAGAAGCCTTTCCCCCCGAGCGCGGCCCCTAAACCAATCCCAAAGAAGTTTTGCATGCCCGAAATTCCTAAGTATTATGGGACGACCGACCCCAACGAACATGTCACCTCTTACACATGTGCCATTAAAGGAAACGATCTAGAAGATGATGAGATCGAATCTGTATTATTGAAAAAATTCGGTGAAACCTTGTCGAATGGGGCAATGATATGGTATCATAATTTACCATCTAACTTTATTGATTCTTTTGCTATGCTTGCATATTATTTCGTAAAAGCACATACCAGGGCCATAAAAGTCGAGACCTGGAAGTCGGACCTATTCAAGGTAAGACAAAAGGATAACGAGATGCTAAGAGAATTTGTATCTCATTTCCAAATGGAACGAATGGATCTACCACCAGTCACAGACGATTGGTTTGTTCAAGCTTTCACTCAAGGTCTGAACGAATGAAGCTCGATGGCTTCACGGCGGCTGAAACATAACCTAATCCAATACCCAGCTATTACTTGGGCCGATGTGCACAATCGGTATCAATCTATAATAAGGGTCGAAGACGATCAGTTGGGTTCCGGGTCCAGTTTTAAAAGGGATACCGATCGAGAACCAAGGTCAAGCAAGGATCGATACTGGTCGTACAACGGAGATCGTCGGGGTAGCGAACTTTTACGTAACCTCGTACGAGGCAAAAAGAGAAATAATCGAAGCCAATGGTCTCGGGGACTAATGAACATAAATGGGTTCGATAGGCATAACAGACCTAAGGAAGCACCACGACTATTGGAGTATAACTTCAGCATCGATGCATCCGCCATCGTGTCGGCTATCGGACGCATCAAGGACACTAAATGGCCTCGACCCATGTGGACCGATCCTGCCCAGAGGAAACCCAATCAAATGTGTGAATATCATGGCACCCATGGGCACAGAACGGAAGATTGCAGGCAACTAAGAGAGGAAGTAGCCCGATTATTCAATAAAGGGCACCTTCGAGATTTTTTAAGCAACAAAGCCAAAACCCATTTCAAAAACAAGGATTTCGGTAAACAAAACGAACAGGAAGAACCATATCACGTCATCCACATGATCATCAGTGGCGTCGATACCCCTCAGGGGTCGGTACTTAAACACACTAAGACATCGGTTAAGAGAGAAAAATGATCTCGAACTTGGGATTATGCACCCATAGGAACCTTGTCCTCTAATGATGAAGATGCATAAGGAGTCATGCAACCTCACAACAATGCACTGGTAATATCCATACTTATGAATAAAATTAAAGTTAAGCGTGTGTTAATTGATCCGGGTAGCTCGGCCAACATTATTTGATCGAAGGTTGTAGAACAATTCGGTCTACATGACCAGGTCATACCCATAACCCTGGTTCTAAACGGATTCAATATGGCATGTGAAACTATCAAAGGCGAGATAATTTTGCCGATAAACGTGGCCGGAACTATCCAGGAAATGAAGTTCCACGTAATAGAAGGCGATATGAGATACAACGCCCTTTTTGGAAGGCCGTGGATCCACAATATGAGAGCTGTACCTTCGACCTTCCACTA